AAGGGATCCCTTGGACTTTGTCTTGATGGCTCTGAGGAGCGGCTATTTTTTTCCCACGAAAGTTACTTATTAACCATAAACCCCTTCAAAGGTGCCACTTTGTTGTTCGGAAACGAAATAAACCTTATTTGAAAAATTGGTCGTTGAGCACTCCTGTATTGATGTAAATTCATTGTACATATTTTTAAACGATGGATAAATAAAGTTAATTATTATATTACTGGGAGTAAATAATATTGTTCGCTATATCGAGGACTTCGTTATATACAGTTGCGTTATATCAAGGTTCCACTGTATCAAGCATGGAAATTTCCCATCGCAGTTTTATCAATCGCATTTCTTGCCTGTTGATATTTTTTTGTTCAGCGTGTGTTGTTTATGTATACTTTGTCATTGATCATGACCTGTTTGGATCCGGTCGGCGGGCGACCTATCATTTGAAGTAAGTACTGGATTTAACATTTTGTTATGATCATAGTTCGGGCCAAGAGCTTTAATATATCTAGCCTGTGCTTACAGGGATTTAGCGTAGGGATCGCGTGCACTCTGTTGGAGTTTCACGCTTCTCCTCAAGCAATGGGAAAACAGCGAGTTGTCAGTTTATAGTCTCACCTTTCTAACAGTTTGATTTATCTTTATCCTTTCATATTGGAAGTTAAGTGCTGCCGCATGCAGAAAAATCAGGGGTTCAGGGGCACCCTACGAGAATATAGTTCAAAATCACTTAAACATAGCGTTGTTAGAAGTATTTTAGTACTGATTTAAACAGTAGATATAGGCATATTTTTATCCCCTAAAAATTTTTCATCTGTTCGGATTTCCTAGCTGAAAGTCTAGCGATCCGAAACTTATGGAGATCAAAAGTTACCTTTTCGAAAATTTCAGCCAGAAAAAAGGCTCCCGAAAATTCTAGGTGACCTTTTTAGAGTAAAACTCCGTTAAAAATAAGCAATTATACCATTTTTTAGATGTTCGAAAATCCTAGGAGAGGCAGGCAAACAAGAAATTTTAAAACAAATGTTCCGAAAATTCTAGATCTCAAATTGCCTTCCGAACAGATATTTTCCTTATGAGAGGTTAGGCGTCCTCGAACTATGAGCTAGAGCTGTTTCACATCAATTGAAGAAAAGAAGGCGAAAAGTCGAAGATGGAAAGATTTATGAACTGTTTTCATACTTACTCAATAATTTAATCTTCAGTTTTTTCTTAAAAGAGGAGAGGGATTGAGAGTTGATGACCTTGTTGTCAAGTGAATTAAAAAACTTAGGCCCTTAAAAAAAGGGCGAGAACTTCTTCGTGTTTGTACGACAATACAGTAGACGGTAGGCCTGGGAATTTCTTGTATTGTAAGAGTGGAATTGATTGCTTTGAGAGAAATTGTTATTAAACTTTGGAGGTAAGAATGAATTTTTGCAAGAATACATAAATTGGCCCAGTTGAAGCAAATGGATATCATTAAATTTTACTATACCGAGGTCCTTAAAGATGGGTTCAGAATGAGCATTGAAATGTGATTTATTAATAATTCTAATAATGCGCTTTTGCAGGATAACAAGGCGGCGGAGATTGGTTTTATAGGTCGAAACCCAAACGATATTGCAGTAGTAAAAATAAGGATAAATTAAGGAATAGTAGAGCATACGTAAAGACGATTTAGGAAGAAAGAAGCCTGCATCTAGACATTATACCGATTGACTTCGCAACTTTACTTGCAACGTATGATATTTCGGACTTCCAATTTAGGTTTTCATCCAAAATTACGCCTGGAAAATTTGTCTCCTTTACTTCAACAATATTTTGATTATCTATACTTATTTGAATATTACAAATTGAACGCTTTTGTCTTGGTTTAAAGACCATAAATTTAGTCTTTTTAAGATTTAGAGAAAGCTTGTTTGCTTTAAACCAGATTGACAGTTTGTCCATCTCCAAGTTTAACATATCAGAGAGATAGTTCAGATCTTTATGTGACATGAATACATTGGTATCGTCAGCGAACAATATCAGATTTAATAGATTAGAAGCATTGTTGATGTCGTTAATGTACAAAAAGAAAAATAGAGGTCCGAGGATAGAACCCTGAGGGATCCCACAAGAGATTTCATTTCTTAACGAACGGTGGCCATTATATTCAACATATTGCTTTCTGTTTGAAAAGTAACTTCTTATCCAGTCCAGCGCTAAGCCACGAATACCGTAATGTTCGAGTTTATCAAAAAGGACGATATGATTTACAGTGTAAATGGCTTTTGAGAGGTCAAGAAAAATACCTACGGAAAATTCACCTCGGTCAAAGGCCGTGGAGATCTTATCATGCAAGTCGATTAGCGCGAGTGCAGTGGAATGATTTTTCCTGAAGCCGTATTGGTTACTACAGAGGATGTTGAAATTCATCAGATATTGCATTAACCGATTGTAGATAACTCTTTCAAAGAATTTTGAAAAGCTGGGAAGCACCGAGATAGGTCGGTAGTTGGTGAAAAGCGACTGATCATCAGATTTAAAAATAGGTATCACGCGAGCGATTTTCATTTCATCGGGAACAATACCATGCTGGATTGACAAGTTTATGATATGGGTGAGTGGTTCAGAAACAAGTAGAATGGACTCCTTAATGACTGTCATTGGAATCTGGTCGTAGCCAGCTGCTTTGCCTGGAAGAAAAATTTTCGCAATCTCAGCGATCTCATCTTGAGTTGTAGGGTTGAAGAATATTGACTGTGTAAAGGAACCATTAAGAAAACTACGGTTTAAAGCTGACGACTGTATACCTCTTGCTAAATGACCTAAATTAACTCATTGTACCGAACGCTTCCGTTGTAGACTCATACATGTTAACACCAAACCAATCAAAACAACCATTTCAACTTCGGTTCGTTCCACAACACGGATTGTATTTTCATAAGCCTTTTTAATACTACAAGTTTATAACCTTGTAACAAGCTGTTTAAACCGGTCCACCTTCTAACACAGACATTTTGTGACATGTGCATTACGTTGCGTGACAAATTCGCTCGCCCTTTGAAAGCAAGCACTTCGTCGGGAAGCCTATGAAATGAATTAAAATTGCTTATCGAAGAACAAATAATATAGGAAAATCTGTGCTGTTATCTGATTACTCGGGCAGCGCGAGAAAAAGTCGTAAAAGTAAAATTCGATGAGAGACAAGCGTTGCGGCAGTTGCAACAGTACGGGTACCAAGGCTCACAGCAGTACATGTTTAAAATTTTGATGTTCAGTTCTCCCTTGTTCTGAGGGATTGCTGCAAACTGTTTACGTGAAATTACTTACTAGCGTGTTTTCCATTTCATCTATTTTAGTTTCATTTGTTTGGTGTAGTATATGAATGTATTTCTCGTCGAGCAAACTTTGCACAACCGTACACCATCGTTACAAAAACCAAAAGGTTTTATCTTAGGGGGTGAGGGGTGGGGACACAACTGCGTGCTCGAAGGTCGATATATATTGAAGTCAATGTAAAGCCGGCGCGGGGGGAGGCAGGGCATGGGGTGGGGATTATATATTTGGCTTACCAAAGCATCAGAGAGTTCAGAGTTGAACTTGCTCCTGGAATAACCAGAAAAGTCTCAGCGTGTTTGCTTTCCGGGTTTTGGCCCCTGAATAAAATTGTGAGAAATACAGAATTGTGAATAGTGATCACTTATGTCAGAGATAATATTTCCACTCGTAATTTCAACATCAACTTTGTTTGTTAGAATATTATCAATTAGGGTGGCTGAGTTATTGTAAACACGCGTTGGTTTGTCAATAGTTGGGATAAATGAAAAGCTTTGAAGAGAAAGTAAGAAGTCCTGAGCATAACAGGAAGTTTCGGCATGAAGGAGGTTTATGTTGAAGTCGCCCATAATATATATTGATTTGTTTGAGGTAATTAGTCTTTCAAGTTTATCATCAAAGTATTCTTGGAAACGTTTGGGAGCGTTATGTTGTCTATATATCATACCACAAATGATGTTACTTTTCTGCGGAAGTTGGATTTCGATCCAAAGTGACTGGAAGGCTTCATCAGATACTTTTTCAATCATATTTCAGGGAATCATTGATATACAAGCCAACACCTCCAGAAGCTAGAGATGTCGGCACATCCAGGTATGCTTGGATTAAAATCCATCTCTTTACCGCTGATTATTTTAGTTTCTGAGACTCCTATAATGCTAAATTCGACATTTAACTCGTCCAATAGATGAACTTGAAAGTTTTCAAGGTTTGGCTTAAGACTCCTAATATTATTATGTAAAAGAGAGAATCTCGAATCACTGACACGGGGACTGGGAAGTTCTCTTTTAAATTTGTAGAAACTATATGGGGAATAGTATCGACTATGAATACGATGATTATAGAGACTATCACCCGGATTGGGCTCTTCAAGTGCGTTTAGCCTGAAAAGATTAAGGTCATAAATGCTAGAGAGTTTTTCTAGGTATTCTTTGGCGGACAAATGGGAAGGTAAACAATTATTAAATTGACCATGAGCTAAGTTTACATTTATTCAAAAACACGGGACCTCACGGAATAAAGATAGAGTATCGCGAGAGTTTTGATCGTTAGCACTCATGAATAGAACTAACTAAAAAGTAGATCATAGTAAATACTTATCGAACTGATGATGTCAGGTCTCCGAGAAAAATCGCTGTAGACTACCAATGTCCGTCATCTTTATTGGTCGGGAACCCTTACTCTTGCGTAAATAAATCGTGGAATTCTTGGCCCAGCAGAAGCGGTATTGGACTGGTTCTGTTCTTTAAATCTCTTCGCTTCAAACAACAGGTGTTGTTTTTGGGGGTGAGGTGATCGAAGATTCTGACTCTGTCAAGAACACTAACCGCAGACAAACTGATATTTGATGGGTTGACTTGAGAGGCACTTTGTCGAGTTTCCATGACACTTGCTTTTGCAAGGCGTCTTACAAATTTACAGATGATCGGTTTCGGAGCGCCATTTTGCTGCCTCGAGGGGACGCGATGAGCAATGTCAATGTCCTACAGAAACACTTCTGCCCCCATCTCCTGGAATAATTTTACGCACAGGGCGCTTGTTTCAGCTGCGGTTTCACTGCTTTTCTCCGGCAGGCCAATTAATATTTTTACATTAAATTGGTAGCTATATTCCTCAACCTCGTCAATGGCGTTGCGAACACCTGTGACTTCAGCGCTAAGCTTATTAAGACGACGGCTTAATGCCTTGAGTTGATCAACGACACCAGAATTAGACGCCGACAGGTCGTCGTATTCGTCGCTCAGATATTGTAGACTACGAGTCACGGTTTCATCATTCGAAGCATTATTATTGCTATTACCAGACGTAGCAGCTGCTTCAGCACCAAAGGTAATGGCCGAATGCACCCGAACCTTCGCTTTCAGCTGCTTTATTTCCTTTGAAAGGGCGTCTACCTTATCCTTTAAATCTTGATTTTGTTGCTTTAGTGAAGTAACTGACTCTTTTGGCATTATTTCAGTGAAAATTATTAACAAAAGGACAGTAGAAAAACGACTCATTAAGGTAAGAAGCGGGAGCTCAAAATTAAACGTCCATCTTGGCTCCTTTAGAAAACCTCCAGAAACGTTGAGGAGAAAGTCCACATTTTGGAAGTTTAAATGTATCGTTCTTACTAAAGGGTACAAAGAAAGTCAATTTTATAAGCTTACAGTGATTGTAGCGAATGAGCCATACACTGATCAATTGTACTTGCAAAAATCGACTTGGCTTCTCTTTACTTCCTTTTACTTTGATACCACAGTATCTTAAGAGGTTCAATTGATCAAAAACACGCTAAAACAAACGAAATTTGAAGACCAAACAGTGAAATCCACTCAGCTTTCGCTTGTTCTCGTTGGCCTCCATGATTTCCAGACTCGCAGATCGTACGGCGCATGCGTGAAGCGTGGAAGTGGGAGACATATGTTCGGTCTCAGTCTTTTTCGTCCACGTCGGGGGAAGGAAGATTCAAATGTCCCCTCCCCTGGGAGAACAAGATCAGTCAAATGCCCTACCCTAGGGCCAACAAAGACAATCAAATCCCCACCCCATGCCCTGCCTCCCCCGCCAGCATAACGTTGTTAGGTGCATGAGACAGACAAAATTAATAATTTGAATTTTTCTCTCTCAGCGCCGCGTCTCACCTTTCTCGCGTGGGTTGATTTTCACGCACCCTTGCGTTTTGCTCGCTCTAATATCCCTGAGGAAAAATGGGGACTAGGCGTAGTCTAAAGTTAACGAAAATTAGCCTAGTCGCTCACGCGCTTCAAGTGGGGTAACTAAAACGTCCAGAAAAAAAACTGGACTAGTTTGACAGCCTTTTGAAAGAGCAAGCAAAGTTCTGTGATATATCAAAAGTACATTGCTTGATGTCATCGCGCACTAGAGGCATACCAATGTAAAATAGCTCAATCATCAGGTATGGCAACACAAATGCAACTCGAGGTTATTTTGACGGGAAGTCGCATAGCTACTCGCGTCTTGTGAAGCAGAGACAACCAAAAAGTCAATGAAGACGAAAACGGAAAGCGGAAATTGTCTCTGTATCCGTGTTTTCTAAAGTATTAAGCTTAGATTAATTGTCATGTCAACCAATTTGGAATATAGAGCAAGAGAAAGACCGAGAAAAAGAGAAAGTACGCGGCAGGCCACCGAAGCTCAAAGAGAAAAAGGGCGACTGAGATCTAGAGCGAGAGAAAAAACAAAGGAGACATTTTTTGTTGGAAGAACAACATGAAAATTTTGTAGCGTCGGTAACAAAATGAGAAATGTAAGCGGCCACCAATGCAAGGTGAAAATGAGCGACAGTGAAAAAAAAGTGAACAAGAGAACGTGCTGTTTTGTGTGACATTGACCTACATAAAACGTGTAACTAAGACGTTCCTGGAAGTTTCACGTTGTAGTCGTGCAAAACAACGGCAAAGAAATGTACAAAAAAAGTGTGCTGCATGTGCAAAGTTGCTTGTTTGCTAATTAGACCTATTGTTGTTTTTCACCGTTCTCTGACGTTGCCTTCGCCGCTTAGCACTACACGATTTTATATTTTGTTTGAGCAAACTATAAGCTTCGCTTTTAGCCCTGGCTAAATCTATATATTAATATAATACGTGGCAGAGTGTCTGAGGAATGAATAATTCCTTTCGATTAGATAATCCGTTGCATGAATAATAGGAGATGTCCCACTCGAGTCGCTAAAAAGAACATTTCTTATAAAATCTCTTTATATGTTACTCACCATTTTCAGTGAGAGCGCACATTGCAGAAGTTTCAAAAAATAAATCCAACGGGTGCCATCAGTTAAAATAACGGTAGGTCAAGTTTTCGTAGTGAAATACGAGGTTCAATAATCCTGTTTGAGAACATTTTGCGGACGTGTTTTAGGGACACTGAACCCAAAATCAAGGGATTACATCAAACCCAACCTCAGCGGAAATCCAATATAGAACGACCAGCTGACGACCCCAAAGGCTTTCATGTCCTGTTTTTGTATGAGAGGTGAAGAGAACTCTTGGTGATGACTGGGATATTTTGTTTGCGTCTTCTGTCTTCGCCGATTTCTGCAAAAAATAATATAGTGATCTAGGCATTTCTAGTAATTTGTGTTCTGTAGATATTACTGGCAGTGACATTCGGCGAATATCGGTGTCATCGGTGGATACTCGGCCAAATAGGCAAGAGGAACCGAATGACCGAATATTTCCCGATACGTCAGAAGTGTTCCCGAGTGAAATTCATCCGATTGCTTCGAGTGGTTTTTTCCTCTCAACAACGTCTGAATCGACCGGCCGTTAATGCCGTCCAGTAACGTCACTCACTACCCAAAAATCGGGTAGTGATTTTGATTGGCTGATTGTCTAAATATTCGCATAATTATGTATAATCATGAAAAATGTTAGCGGGATTGTCGCTTGATATTCAGCGGATCGCATCCTTGGCATTTCTTTCGTGTAGTTCAAACATTTCGATAAGCTTAATCTTTATATTATCTTAACCAGCAAAATTACCCTTGTCTTCGAAACTGAAATGCTAAATTGAAATGCGAATGAAGAATCATTGCGGAGAGTCGGTAGGTTTTTCATTTAGAGCCGCTTTGTGGTTTCGGCGGCCAGTGATTTTGTTTACGCGAAGTTTTCTGAGATCAATGTTATAATTCGACCTTGTTTCCATTTTCACCGTCAAGTGTAATGATTCTGTTAGCTTTTCTTTCTTGTTTCCTTGTTTTTTTTCTTCGTTAGGGACCAAATAGCTTCTTTTCAATTAAAGCAAATAACTGTGTTTTTGAACTAAGTGTTTCTTCTGTGTGTATTTATTTCATTGTGTGATTGCGACCGACTTTGATTATAGAATTCAGTACACACTGACCGGTTCAGAGTTGTACTGCATGCAGTAGATAGTTTGAACGTTAAACATGAATTACGATCGAAAAAATAAAACAATTCTGTATCATGCAGACATTTCCAAACGATATTTCTCGGTTTGCGACTTGAAAATCGTGTTTTACTTTTTGCATGAGTTTAAGCGAAGGTCAAGGAGTAGTGAGGTCACTGGACGGCATTAACGGCCGGTCGATTCAGACGTTACTGTGGGAGTAATAACGACTCGAAGTAATCGGATGAAATTCAGGCTAGAAGTGTTCCCGAGAGTCACAAATGGTTTTACCTATGCTTTAGAAGCCTGTTTGGTAAATTTGAACGATCAAACGTATTTATTTGATCGGATGTGTTATAAGATTTTTGATCGTCTCGAAACTTCCAGGTTCCCTCTTTTTTCTCCTTCGGAACTGTTCAGGCTTCCATGATTGGTCCGGTTGAAAGTTCTAGGACATGGGATACCGGGGGAATAGCCTTATTTTCCATCAGGAAATACTAAGCACGTTTTGCCTCTGGGCCTCAGTTTTTCGAGGAGACTTTTTACAACAATAATCGCAATATCTTGGCACTGAAAATTAAAAACAAAACCTCGAAAAGAAGAGAAAAAACTGCGAATATCTTAGACGAATGGAGGGGTTATATTTTCTCGAGCTTTAGAACTTTTTAGGCAATATTTGCTCCTTATAGAACAGATTTTTGACCAATAAAAGGTCTTGGGTGTTCCAGATAGTCCTGATAGGGAACCACGCTGGAGTGTCCACCGATAGCTCGACCGATATTTCGGTGTATTCGGACACTACCTACGCACTCAGACCAATCCATGGTCAAGACTGCAGAACAGTCCGTGTTTTTGCGTATTCAAGAGGTCTGAACCGATTTTGAGAAAAGAAAAAAAACAACAACAACTGACTGCTTTGCGGTCTACCCATGGTCCAGTAACTTTGTTTCTTTCTTTTTCTTAGCAGGAGCAAATACGTCAACACAACTGATCTTTCGTCGGTGGCTGTAATTGAAGCAGAATGTTTTCCACAAAAACGGATTCTGTTTCTTAAAACGCACAAAACTGGATCAAGCACCATGGCTAACATCTTCTTTCGTTATGGAGACGCCAGGAATCTTACATTTGCTCTGGGGGATGACACCATTCTTGGCTGGCCTGAGAAATTTCACATTCTCCACCCTCTCCGTACGTTTGGTAAAGCTCCTGATATACTCTGCAGTCATGCAAGATTTAACAAGGAACCAATGAACTGGCTTTTTCCGCGAAAAACTAGCAAGTACGTTACAATTCTCAGAAACCCTGTAGACAACTACGAGTCTGCTTTCAACTTTGCTCAACTAGGAAAATCGTTTGGTTTGGGAGTTGCGCTCGACTCCTTGGAAAAATTTCTAAATAAACCAATACAATCTTATGACCATTCTCGTAAGGCGAGTATTATGATGTATTTGGCGCGAAATCCCATGATGTTTGATTTGGGTTTGAGGTTTCAGTATTTCCAAAACCTCACAGCTGTTAAAGAGTACATTCAGTTCCTAGATAATGAATTTGATCTTGTCATGATTATGGACTACTTTGATGAGTCGCTGCTGTTAATGAAGAGATTGCTATGTTGGAAGATAGAGGACATTTTGTACGTAAAGCTCAATGAGCGACAAGACAAGGAAAAAGCTACTCTTTTAAGTGCAAGAGTTAAAGAGAATATAAGGCGATGGAATAAAGCAGACGTTTTGTTATTCGATTATTTTAACGCATCGTTTTGGAGAAGAGTAAAGAAAGAAGGACCAAGCTTTTATGAGGAACTGAGTACTTTTCGTCGGAGAAAACAGGAAATACAGCAATTATGCTTGATCAATGGTCCTCGAATCCAAAGAGCTTATCATAACAAATTTGTAAAGGGCTATTCAGTTAGAAATGATCTTGATGAAAATTCAAAGCGCCTCTGTGAAAACTTAGTCAGAACGGAGAATGATTTCCTTGCATACCTGAGGAGAAAACGTATGGTGAAACTAAGGGAAAGTGGGATTGACAAGCTGGACAAAATTGAAAACGAAAGTGGATGGCAAGTGGCAAAGGATTTGCAATATGATCCTGTTTGAGCGTG